GGCTACGATTCGATATTTTCCCTTTAGCTGTCTTTAATGGCGGCGAGTTATCGACTTTTAAATGCGTTGATGTGCTTCGCTGGAGATTTCGTGGCAAGATAAGATAAATAATGTAAGCGAACGTTGTTTGGGAAGGAAAGGAAATTAAATGGCATTCAAAGTGAAAAGTGAAGTACAAACGATGTGTTGTATTGTAGGCGTGGAGGTTGTAGGGATATGAGGGATGAGAGTCATGTGACACATGGTGATGAGTGTGGCTAGAGTGGATTGCTGGAGGTAGACGGAGACGGAATGTCAATGTAGGTTGCGTGGAGGTCTTTTATTTTTTTGAGGGGAGCAAGTCATATATTTTGGTTCTCCCGCCTTGGGGCATTAGGGTGTATCAGAATCTTACTGGCTAAAAACACCCCGTCTCTTCTTCTGCTCCGGGCAATCTGCAATACATTATTACGCGTGGTCAATGGAAATACCAGAACAATAACTTACTATCATATAAATGATTAAATACAAAATATTCGCAGAAACGTTATGTTTTAAACGACACATTCATGTTTTAATATTAATGTAAAATCAACAACAATGATACGAACAAATATTGAAAATCATATTTTACTATAACGAACAATGTATGCAAACATTTACCACAAAAAATATCGGACAGTATTTTTGTCCCACTACCCGACTGCCTGCCGTTTCGTAAACATCCCAAAACATTGAACAGAGAAAGCTTATGTGGGCTTTCTGCATAATATAGAGCTGCCCTACAAATAAAATTGAAGTTTTATAACAAAATAAGAATATCGAAGAGAAAGGCCGTATTACCGTAATGTATCTTGTGCGATATTTAGCCGGACCGGAAGGGACGACGACTACTAAATAATCTAAGGCTCGGACAACTGCGGCCCCGACCGGACCGGACAACACTAGCCGTCCGGCAGCCGGGCCGGCCGCTGACTATAAGATAAGTTGGATGTGCGATGTAACTCCGTACGTAATGGTTGCCAGCGTTTAGGCCTGATTGGAACTCGCCGATTTGTGTGTGTTCACAAATTGCCCGGAGGATTGTTTCTGCTTTGTTTTTTCGACCCTCAGAACGTAATCCAATCAGCGAGCTCTTTTATTCACTTCGTGATCGAATGTAAGGGACATCGCCCGCGTATTGTGTCTCTCTGTACTGTTTCCTATTCATTAATATAATCCAATTCCTAAATCTTAAGAAAGCTGCTTCCAATAAAATACCTCTCTCGAAATTGATGCTAAAATGTAAATTTCGTTTGATATTATTGGTACATTTTGCTAAGGTATAATTTTAATTCACTAGACACTCAAGATCTGACAGCTGTCAAACGAAAACGGGCCTTCGTACTTTTGAAATAAATTATTTAATAGAAGGATATTTATTCCTTCTGTCTGTAATCATAATTATTTTGACGATCTAAAGGTTCTTTAGTATCTACTTATACCTAGAGGTAAAGGTTTTCATGTTCCATTCTTAATGACCGATTTACATCCTCTTTGAAACTGCAGCATTTGTTATTTTTTATTTAACAGAACCTGTGTAAGCAACGCTTCAGATACATTTATCTGCGCCCAGTCAAGGAAGCTAACAATTACGCGGGTCGACGGTTCTCGCGAAAATTCTTCTGTTGTTTGGCTGCGCTTAATTTATAAAAATGTTACATCTTTATTCTCTCTATTATTTATTATGAAATAATATTTATTATTTTTGTGAATGAAATAGTCAAACAGGAAAAATGATGGAATGACGATAATCGTAAAAATATTTACAATTTAATCAATATTCCTATACATCCTTAATCTTGTTCAAAACTGGTGACGACGGAGTACGCTGTATGTAAAATGTTGGAGTTGACAGATAATTGACAGCGCTTAACTTTACACTTAGCCGAGAGCTAAGTTAGTGCATGCCATGATGGTAGGCGTCCCTAAAATACATAAATTTAATTTTAGGTGATAGCGCACACGTACATCTGAACATCTTTACTGTAGGATCATTATAAAGAAGGCATTTTGTTGATTAATATTATGGAAGAAACTGAGATTATTTAAGAGCTGAGATTTTGGAAGAAAAGATGAGGAAATGAATTATGTTTTATCTCATCATGACCACCATCTTTGTAAGCTCCATCAGTACCTGTCATTTTTTTAAATAGATCAGTTCGGTGACCACAGAATCGCCAATTTTTTTCAGGTGACCAGGTATATCTGACTACTTTCAGGTAACTAAGTGGGATCCTAAACTCACTGCTCACTCACTGCCCGCAGATACAAAGGTCTCGATGTTTACATGAAAACGAATTAATATTTTCCTTGACATACTCTTGTTTCGTTATTTCACCACTAAACAATAAACCAGACTTTATACTCTTCTACGATTATACAAATTATGTTCAAAAACAAAAACACGCTCATTTTTTGTTGATGTTAACGCAAATGGCAGATTTTCATTACACAGGCTGAAGCCATACTGGAAATTGATAATTAAATAATATAATTCGATAAATTCATACGAGATCACGTTTTCTCTGTGAAATGAAAACGCAAACAGACTTCCAAAATTTTATCCGACTTCGATTCCCGAGTGAAAAAGAATATATGATAAAAGCAAATAATTTACAATAATTAAGCCGACATAGGGCTCAGCAGTAATTACTTACTGCGCATTTCGAACGACTCATATAATTGATGTCACATCATTGTCAGTGCTGCGTCCAGCATTCAATTTGTAATGAGATCATTTCAGTCAACTCATTTGTTTTCGTACAGCGGATTCAAAGTATAAATTTATTTTAAATTTACTTAAAAAAACGGTTTTTAGCTATCAAATAATTATTACGATAGAATGCTCAAAGCCGCCTGAGATCAGAATACTTAAAAGGCTGTCTTAGTAATCTCACCGGTAGCTCCACCGCTTTGCAGGATCCTGTCAGTAAAATAAAGGACAGAGCATTATAAGGACAATAAGCTCCGAGTGTTAAGAAGTGTTAACTATCTACTCACATAATAAAACACTCAAAAAATCATGAGATATTTTTAAATAACTTCTGATTCATAACCGCTTGACCTCTGTAATTAAAACCCATTATAAAGTTAGTACACATACACACACCTAAGAGGGAAATGAAATCAGTCGACCCGCGAGTGAGCGCGCAATGTAATGAGAATTTTGAACTAACGATCGATGTGAACGGGCCTTAATTAATGGATCCCTGTGTTAAGTCGCTGATAATGATGGATGGGTGTGCACTGCTGAGCCACACGAGTTAATATATTGCCGTCTCCAAATGACAGGATGTGCGGTGAACTTCACACTTCAGGAGTACGGTTACCGCCAGTCATCAGGTCAAACCTCTCACCTGGTGTCAAAGTTTACAAATGTTTGCTAAAACAAGTTTGTATATGAAATGATGTTCCCTCGTAGATTTATCATTGATATACATATGTACGTGTTAAGGTAAGATATCTTATCTTGTTTATTGTAATTAACCTATTAGGGTATTTTTTTTAGTGATAAGCTTATAAAATAATTTTCTAATGATAAGTTTAAAATCATTATTAAGACTATTCGAGACATTACCCAAAGCGACAGACATTTTCAAATATTTACTAAGACACTAAGTTCCACAAATGCCTCGTTTTTTTCCTAAAGCCGGGTGTTTGGGGCAAAAAATATGGAAATATCCAAGTGGTACTTACATTTTACTGAAATCTCTAGAGAATTCACCATTTATAAATCTCTGCTTAATTTAAAATTCGTCCGTGGAATAACTTTGGAACTTGCCTAAAATAATTATAATTTAGTATTAAATACTAGAGCAACTTTACTTAGGGGAACGAAAGGTTTTTAATAAACTTAGAAATGTCGGAAGCCAACGGACTTGTGCTGGAATTTAGTTTACAAATGCCATTAATGTAAGAGCACTTTGTGTTTGGACGAACGATATGAATTTGATAAATGAAACTCCACGAGTCGGAGATTAATACCAATTCAGAAGGAAGTATTATTTTGTCCAATTTGGGATGAATGAACTTCTGAATTGTAAAACGCTCATTACCTCATTGCAGACGGGTTAACAGATGTTATTGTTATCGAATATTTGAATATTGAACCGACTGATTTTTAGAGTCCAATACCAATAATCTCGTTTCTATCTGCTATCATGATTACAACAAATGTATGTAATCGTAGTCAATTGCCTTAGTAAGTATTCAATATTCAGTATTCAGCTCGCCGCCCGACCAGAACCATACCTCTCGATGGTCTTTATTGGCGCTGCGAGCCAATAGAAACCACCACAGACAGGGCCACCTACTGAGCTGATGTTTAGCCGGGGTTGCAGGGCATGCGCAGTAATTTTATGTGTAGGAGAGCCATGCTTCGGCACGAATGAGTCGGCTCGACTGGAGCAATACCACGGCTTCGCAGAAAACCTGCGTGAAACAACCCAAGTGAGGTTACCGGAGGCCCAAACTTTCTCCTCCCCCAATACTTATCAATTCCCTAAATCACCTAAATCCTAATCCCCAAAAAGTCGGCAATGCACTCTTAACTCTTTCTTTGTTACGGGTGTGAGAAATAACCATGTGAGATTTTTTCGGCTGTTAGTTATTTAGGTTTTGACAGTTTGAGTGTTTGCGCGACTTACCCAACTGTTCTTTTGATCGGTATTGTTTGTCGGACAATTCAGCAATACCCGTAAGTTGACACTTGCGTGCCTATCTTGAGAACGGTTCTACTTAAACTGGTGGTTCTTTCCTCAAAAGGCCACTGCAGACTGAACTTACACGAATCCCACATATCATATTTATTACTTCTTTACACTGTCTGGACTTTGAAAGAGACTGACCTCGTTTTTTCGTGTTGACATTTCTCCTCAGGGTAGTCAGATAGGAAATACTGGTCACATCTAGTTTATAATATGTGTATATAGCAACAAAAACAACAATTTACAACAAAAACATAGTTGATATAATGTAATAATAACCCAAAAAAGGCTATCAAGATGATTAATTGTGATTAAGAACGATATGCTCGATAAAGTTTTAATTTAATGTTAGTTGGTGGTGACGCACAATGGAGACCAGACACTTGCTCGTGGTGTGCTCGGCTTTGCTGAGTGTGGTGCAGTCGGGGAAGCATGACATCTACTCTGGGTATGCGCACTTACATTTACCTCTGTGGAGACACAGGCACATTAAGCTGCTCTCATCTGTTACAAGTAAAGCAAACGAGCAGACGGGTCGCCTGATGGCACCAGAGGAGTCATAGTAGTGGTTTTAAGAAAGAGTATGCTCGTTTGTTGACTCTTTGGAGGTCTTTCCAAAGTTTATCATTACGTAATCAATTGTTACCCACAGGCATTCAGTCTACGGAGTTCAGGTCCGCAATAGAGACCATCAGATGCTCCTGCATGACCTTGAGATGACACTGGAGCTGGACGTCTGGCATCACGGCATTATCTCGGAGAGAGAAGCTCTCATCAGAGTGGCCCCTGAGAACAAGGCATATTTCCTGCAAGCATTGGATGACGAGGGAATAGAATATTACGTGCACCTACAAGATGTTGCTCAGTGAGTGTTATTTGATTTATGTCGGATTTTTGAGATAAGAATTTGTCTTTCTCAGCTTACAATAAATGTTTTTTAAGACATAGGTCGGCAAATGAGCAGATGGATTTCCTGATGGCCAGCAATCAGCGCCGCCCACGGACACCCGCAAAACAAAGGAGTGCATTGCTGGCTTTTTGGATATTAGGGTTTCGGATATTTAAACATTGGGATGGGAGGGGAACGGTTCATGCTGTGGTTGTTTCAAGCCGGTTTTCTATGAGGCCGTGGTATCAGTAGTAGTACGCCGGTCAAGTTGACTCATTTATGCCGTAGCTTGGCTCTACCGCACTTGGAAAAGTTTTATTTAGTGTAAGTTTTGCCACTCTGTGTGAATTCCTTTCTGAGCATCAATTGCTTATTTCACACAGGGCCTTAGAAGAGGCAGAAATTGAAAGGAACTCGTGGCGGGCTTCAGGACAAAATAGGATGTTGTTCAATGACTACCCCCGATATGATGAAGTAAGTAGTTTTGGGGAAAGTATTGTAGAGTCAGCAAATGTTTGTATTGCGAACAGTTTGTCAGTAATAAAATATAAAACTGATCTACTAAGACTAATAACGGAACGGAATAAAACTAGCTCTCACTGCATTATTTCTCTCAGCATATTTTAATTTTGTTTTTCTGAAATTGAACTCGTGTCATCGTACTGTGAACATAATAATATTAGATTGTATAATTTAATTAATTGTTCTACTTTTCAACAATCAGCGATACAACAGTGATTACTTCGCACAGTTTTAAGTCCGTGATTTAAAATTTTATTCATTATCTGGTTTATCATGTTATCTTATCGTCACACGGTTGACAATCCTGTAGACATATTCATTCCCAAACATAATCACAAATATCAAATATTTTTCTCACATGTTACCAATGCATGTTACATTTTATTTGAATAATGAAATTTTTCTGGTCATATTTTAACCTCAGATAGATAAATTGTATTGGCCTGAGATGTTAACATTGCATAGATTTTTACCGACACAGAATGAAATGTTAGATGTTTAAAAGAATTAATTAAGATACCAATAATAAAATACTCAACATAGATATTAAAATAGATATTTCCTTTCACAGATTAATGAGTATATGGATATGATTGCTAGCAGGTACCCTGACCTGGTCAATGTTGTCACAGCCGGTAAAAGTTTTGATCAACGAGACATCAAGTACCTTAAGGTTTGTGTTCATTGTAAACTATACTATGCTCCTACGACTACATCATTATATCGGATTCGTGGACTTTTCATTATTTTTAGTAACTTAAATTCTGACCTAACTGATTCTGTCCAATCAGATTTCAACAACCAATTTCGAAGACAGCAGTAAACCTATCTACGTGTTGACTGCAATGATCCACGCGCGCGAGTGGGTCACCACCCCAACCCTCCTGTACTCCGTGTTCCGGCTGGTGGAGAACTTGAGGAGTCAGGACCGAGACTTGCGGGATGACATCGACTGGATCATCATGCCACTCCTCAACCCTGACGGTTACGAGTACTCACACGAAACCGTGAGTGTTATTGTTACGATGTAGCCACTAGATCGATATATCCTTCTCTAATAGCTCGTTTATTGAGTGCCACATGACACCAAACAAACCTCATTGTTTTTTGTTAAAAAGATAACATTCATCACTATAATAAATACATATGTGGATTCTCCAGGATCGTCTCTGGCGAAAGACAAGATCGTACAGACCTCACATCAATGACACATGCTGGGGTGTGGACGGTAACAGGAATTACGATTCCGTTAATTTCGCTGCAATTGGGGCTAGCCAGGACCCCTGTTCGGACATCTACCCTGGACCTGAACCCTTCTCTGAAGTGGAGACTGCTTACGTCCGAGACGTCTTGCTGGAACATGTGGATAGGATCCAGATATTCATGGACGTTCATAGTTTTGGCAATTATATAACGTATGGTTATGGTGACGGAACGCTGCCACCGAATTCTGCTCAGTTGCATCTGGTGTCTGCTGTGATGGGGGCAGCTATGGACGTGAATAAACTGCCCGAGGCAAATTTCTACCGTTTGGGCAACAGTGGCCTCTTGATGTACTTCACCGCTGGGTGTGCCCAAGATTATGCTCAGGTAGGAATTGTTTTTTTTTTAATTTTTTTTTTTGGAATGAAAATAATTGGGTTTACTTTAGATATACACCGCAATAATGACTGTGCCAAGGTCACAGTAGCCTTATAGAATGTAATTAAGCACATCTCTGCTTTAAATCCGGGTACGTGTATTACCGCAGTCCCGGCCTCGAGCAATAGAAGAAACGTTGTAGTTTTATGCTGTTAGGTCATCAAAAGTCAAAAGTAAAAAGAAGTCAAAAATCATTTATTCTAATTAGACCCTTACAGGCACTTTTGAACGTCCAACAAAATTTTTAAGATATAGTGTCAGTCTGTCGGTCAGTCCTCTTAGTTAAGCTATTTGCTGGTTCCAAAGTGTAGATTCCGATGGAGAAGAACGAGCAAGAAACTCCATGGTTACTCTTTTTAAATCAGTTTCACACACAGACTCCTTTTGCAAACAGTTGGTTCAATTATGTGAGAACAGTGTAACACTAATATTTATTTAGAGAAATATAAAAAGAAAATAACCTTAAGGACAATAGACAGTCCGGAGCTGACCAGTCGTAACTGACGGCGCCCGTTCACGAACATGACACGTACACCAGCATCGCCCAACGAACCATATTGTAGGGAATTAAGCGATCCAGCGCCCGTGCCACCATCAGTGTGACCTTTCAGTCAGCATGACAACTCCAAGCTGATATAAGGACCGACATTCTGCTAGTCTAACCAATTGTAATAGATTACAGTGCACTCACATTTACAAATTTATCATTTTATAGTTATACAATATAATGCAATTTCACTAAATTTGAGAAGTTCCGGTAAGCAAAATCCACTGGAACGTTATTTATTTTGGTGTAGGTTTGCTATCCTGTGGAGCAAGACCAGCATGTATCGATGCATCTTTATCTACAATATAATCATTCAGTGTGTAGTATGCTTGTCTACATAAAGTTTTCTTACACATTATTAAAAATTTCTTTCTAAATAACTAAACAGCCCAACAACCATAAATAATAAACATAATATGCTGTTGTGAGATATTTTAAGATAATTTTATGCAGAACATTTCTGAACATTTCTGATGTCTATGTAACTTTAACCACAAAGGCTGTTCGTGCGACGAAAGCTTAAAAAATGGAGTAAATTTTCCCAACATTTCTCTTCATTGCTTTGCTCCTATTCGGCAAACGAGCAGATGGATTACCTGATGGTAAGCAATCAGCGCCGCCCATGGACACTGAGTAGTTACGAGTTAAGGGTCGACCTTTTAGGGATTAGGGATTTGGAGATTTGGGGATTGAGGAGGGATTGGGGGAGGGGAAGGATTGGGCCACCGGTAACCTCACTCACACGGCGAAACACAACGCTGTGGTTAATTGACGCCGGTTTTCTGTGAGGCCGTGGTATCACTCCAGTCGAGCCGACCCATTCGTGCCGAAGCATGGCTCTCCCACACTTAAAATAAATAATGAAAACTATACTTTAACCTGCATAAAGAATAATTATAACAAGTTGCGTTAAAATGCGTTAAGTAGTTTTGTTTCTATTAGGAACATACAGACAGACAGATAAACATTTTACTGATTGAATTTTTGCCATCTGTAATAACTAATCATACCTTGATAGTTATTTTGAAAATTATTTCATGTACGTGATCGACCACTCTACACATTTATTTTAAGTATCGATAGATGATGAATAAGCTTCCGTAATGATACATACCGTTCCTAACTTTTCATGAATAATATTTACACAATTATAAAATATGTATGTTGCAGTCTATCGGTGTTCCCTTTTCATTAACGCTCGAGCTGCCAAGCTACGGACACCGATTCGAGGTTCCGCCAAAGTACATCAGCCACATCAACGAGGAGACATGGGAAGGCATCGCGGCCAGCGCCAGGGTTGCCCGCACGTTCTACAGGGCGAAGGCGACTCCTCCTATCAACCCTCCTGTTAACCCTCCTGTTAACCCGCCTGTTAATCCTTCGAACAATAATTAACAATAAAATTGACTTTAACGTATTAAGTAATATCAAATAATGATACACCTAAACTGTTTAAAAAAAAGTTTCTTATAAGCTTACAACCAAATGCAAACACACACTTATGTAATAAAAACAAGTACAACAATATAGTGTCTTCTTATTTGGGTACGGCCTCATTTGTATTATTTTACATTTTTTGTTTTTTATTTACACGTTGCCCCACACTCGGATTTTCTCCTGTGTCGTGGGTGCGTTTAGAAACATTCGATTTCAAATACACAGCACACGCCGAAACAACAAATTGTGGATTACACAAAGTGTAGTACCGTGCGGGAATCGAACCCGCGACAAGTTGCATGACATCCAGTTGCCCAGCCACCGTACCAACCGTGCAGTCAAAACTTGTTATTGTTAGCTTCTTTTTAAATCTAATCTTTATTTAAATTATGGCAATTTCATTAAACTTTAAAATATGCGATTGGGCTTGAAAATTTACGCTTCTCGATGAGACTAAGAACCATCTCTTTTGCGAGAGGAACTGGGAAGCCGTCGCCTCTTTCTGCGAAGCAGTAAATTACTGCCGATTTTTAAATGCTTGTAATAATCGGCTCAGGAAGCCTTGTTTGCTTGTTTTGGTTCTGGTTACACCCACACCGTGTCTTCTGCCAATCACTTTTGAAACTTTTGTGGGAATAGTCTTGAACATTCACTGCAACTCCTGCAGGCCAAGAACAGGCAGTAGAGACCAAGTGAGGTACGTAATCTTCGCAACAAAGAATGCGAAAGAAAGAAAGAATGATTCACACATCTTTGATTTCGTAACAAAATAAATCAGAAAATACAGAATAGTATAGAAGGAAAAGACAGGGTGCGTGTTCGAAATCTGGCAAGTACCAATGTGACTATTTCCGAGTTTATGATATACTTTCTATGATTATTAAGACGCCACTGACAAACCGCGAAAGAAAATCGTTTTTTTTTTTGTCAGGGCAAAATCATCGAATGACTTCACCCGCCCAGGGCTAGGCGAGAGAAAGTGTAGGCCTCTTACTGACTAAAAACCCCCCTGTTCCTTCTCCTGCTCTGGTCACGGTGACTCATTGCACTTAACCCGCAACCCTGGCTGAACATCAGCCCTATAGGGCCCTGTCTGTGATGGGTAATTGGCTCGATAAGGCGCGCGTGGAACGCTATGCGCCGTACACTCGGGTCTGGTTCTGGTCTGGCGGCGAGCTACCCTTAATCGCCGTCCGCAGACCCGCGCTTACGGTGGCCGGAGATCATCTTTCGATCGTCGACGCCCGGAATGTCGCCTACTGCGGCGGCTGCAGTGGATAGTTCCCTCACGCGTTTTGCAAGCATCACTGCTTCGCAGAAAGAGCTGACGGCTTCCCAGTTCCTCTCGCTGACCATGGCCTCGACTAAGGCTAGGCGCGAGAGGTCGCCGCCACGAAAGAAAACCTGGACTTATAATAATAGACTGAAACGTACTTACAAGAATAGTCCACAACTGGAAGAAGCCTAGTTACTGATCATCAAGGAGTACGTACCACGTAACAATAATGTCCTGCTATATCAAAGTTTGTAACCATGGATGGATGGATGGTTTGTGACTGTTTCACGCAAAAACTACTGAACAAATTTGAATAAAATATGATGCAGCGACAGACAGTCTAGAATTACGTTCAGACTACCTTTTACCCTGGTATACTGAGAGCAGAGCCACCGGCAGAAACTGGTACTCGATACGTTAATATCTCCAACCACTTTTTGTTCTAGTTCTTCGATATTAGTCCTTTCACAGGGATCTTCTGATTCAGAAAACTGTAATAGGGCTCCTAATAGGAATCATAACTGCTTGACCTCAGAAATTAATCAAACCATAAATTTAATACTCATACATAAGAGGGAAATGAAATCAGTTGACCCGTGAGTGAGCGCGCAATGTAATGAGAATTTAGAACTAACAATCGCTGTGGACGGGCTTTAATTAATGGATCCCTGTGTCAAGCCGCTGTTAATGATGGATGGGTGTGCACTGCTGAGCCACACGAATTAACACCAAATGGAGATCCTGGTGAAAACTTTTGCAATGAGCTCCTGAAAAAGCAAAATGCAGATCTGAATTTACAAAATGTGTTTGTTTTTTTATTGTGTCTCGCCATACCCTGGGTGAGAGCAGTATTTGATGATTTTTACCTCCACAAGAAATATACTCTTGGCTTCTAGAGATTTTCTTAGCGCGAACTTCGCCATATTTTATATCAGATTTGTGTTTTTAGCCAAATTAGAATAAAAACCACAACTTGTTGTTTTCCTATAATATGTTTGTCACACAAAACCAAGTCTCAACCAAATAGTAACCAACCTACTAACAAACAATACGTACTTACGAACTACTCTGTTCAAGACTAATAAGTTTCGGAATTTATTTCGGAACCTAAACTTTTAGTTTGAGTTTTCCAACGCCTTAGAACAATTGAACTAACCATAGACCAAGATATGAACTTTTAGGCACCTACCAAACTAGCCGAGAAAAGGTCGGGCACGCTGTTGGAGCAGCATTAAGATCCCGCTTTGAGGAGTGACTTGCGAGACGCCATGGTGTTCTCACCATCCGCCTGTGCCCTGCTTGGGCTGAGCACCGCCGATCGGCGGCGGCGACCTCTCGCGCCCGGCCTTAGTCGAGGCCATAGTGCGGCGAAAGGGAGACTGGAAAGCCGTCTCCTCTTTCTGCGAAGCAGTGACGATCGCTAAGAAGGAGGCGGAACGCATAAAAGAACCTGTCTCTTTCTATCAATATTCCCCTCACGCAGATCCAAACCCGAGCGCACGGCGCGTAGCAATCTGAGTGCTCCTCTACCAACTAAACTACCACAGGCGAGGCCTGAAGATGTTCCAAAAGGCCGATATCAAACATACGGCTCACAATAAACAATATTAATTCCAAATTTAAAGCCGTAGCCCACTTGATGAAAAAAAAATAACTCGTTTGATACACAATAAGCGCCTGTTGATATTATGGCAGCAATTATTTCCGCGTGTGCCTGTTTTCGCAACTTTTTTTGTGACTGTTCCGCTTCTATTGGTCATATAGGGATTTTATATACCCTATGTCCTTTCTCAGGCTCTAGACTGTTTGTTAACCAAATTTTATAATAATCGGTTCAGTAGTTTTGTTGAGAAAGCGGGATAGACAGATAGACAGACAGACAGAGATACTTTCACATTTATAATATCAGTATGGATTGAATAAGTCTTGTTGTTCACTTGCTGTCGTAACAGTAATTTCAACATAAACAATGTTATATTACCTGTTACAACTAATTTGATTTTGGACTAATATTTAATTTGATGATCGTATAAAAGATAAAATGATTTTGTTATAAATTGTGAGAAGGTGTCCTACAAGTACATAAGATTATAAATATATATGAGACTAGCGGGCCCTCCCCGAAAACCTCCACATATCAAACAGCGAAATCATCACTATGCGCTTGCGTTTCTTCTAATCCCTGCAGAGTCAAGGCTAATGAAGTAAATCCCATTTCTCCTATTTGCCGGAAAGTTCTGTTCGTGACAGCTGACCATTTTAGACAAGCAAGCAAGTTATTACGAGTATAAACCAGATTACAGCCAGATATGGTTATCTCTTTTCATTGAATTTCTAAGAATTCGTTCCTATATTTTATTTACAAAAATATGTTTCCTAAATTCGCCAATAATCCTTTAATGGCTTTATCAAGCGGTATCAAGGAGATTAGCATTATAATTTTCAAATGATTGATAACCTGTTAAAATCTGTAAAGAGATGGAGTCAGTTGGGCGCGACGCACAATGGAGACCAGACACTTGCTCTTGGTGTGCTCGGCTTTGCTGAGCGTGGTGCTGGCGGGGAAGCATGACATCTACTCCGGGTATGCGCACTTCATTTACCTCTGTGGAGACAAAGGCACATTAAGCTGCTCTCATCTGTTACAAGTTAGTTTCAAGTCACAGCGGGACTTTTATTAAGGAGACGTGTGCATTGTTTTTAAAGCAAACGAGCAGACGGGTCCCCTGATGGCACCAGAGGAGTCACAGGAGTGGTTTTAAGAAAGAGTATGCTCGTTTGTTGACGGTTTGGAGGTCATTCCAAAGTTGATCATTACGTAATCAATTGTCACCCACAGGCATTCAGTCTACGGTGTACAGGTCCGCAATAGAGACCATCAGATTCTTCTACATGACCTAGAGCTGACACTGGACCTGGACGTCTGGCAGCACGGCATTATCTCGGAGAGAGAATCTCTCATCAGAGTGGCTCCTGAGAACAAGGCATATTTCCTGCAAGCATTGGATGACGAGGGAATAGAATATTACGTGCACCTACAAGATGTTGCTCAGTGAGTGTTATCTGATTTATGTCGGACTTTTGAGATAAGAATTTTATTTTCTCATCTTAAAATTTGATTTATTATAAGTTCTTCCTCTATGTGTGACTACCTTTCTGAGCACCAATTACTTATTTGTCACAGGACCTTGGAAGAAGCAGATATTGAAAGAAACTCGTGGAAGGTTTCAAGACAGAATAGGGAGTTGTTTAATGACTACCCCCGATATGACGAAGTAAGTACTTTCAACGTCTATATTGTAAGTACCAAATATTTACTGTCAGTGATAAATAAATAATCAGCCACTAAAACTCACCCCTATTTCGTGTTATTGTGATTTAACCTGAATCAGAACAAATGCTAGCCCACTGCATTATTTATTCAATTGTTAGGTAAAAGCTTTGTGGGTATTGCTCTAATCTGATTTTATATTTTTATTTGTTTTGGCTCAATTTTATAAATGAATCAACCTATCCACCTACTTGCCTATTAGTAGTAGTTATGATTTTATTGATAGTTCAACTTTATGATAAAACAGTTTTAGTTTTATGACAAGCAATTTTATTTATTATCTGATTATGAAGGTACCTATTTAAATCTAATCTTGACCGCATCAATAAATATTAACGATTGTACAATTATATATTAAATTGTAAAAAATAAGTGCAGATTACACTTTTAAATAAAATTTTATGGCTTAATGTCAGTAACTGTAAGTGTGGGAGAGCCATGCTTCAGCACGAATGGGTCGGCTCGACCAGAGTGATACCACGGCGTCACAGAAAACCGGCGTGAAACTACCACAGCGTTGTGTTTCGCTGTGTGAGTGAGGTTACCGGATACCCAATCCTTCCCCACCCCCAATCCCTCCTCAATCCCAAAATCTCCAAATCCCTAAAATGTCGGCAACGCACTCGTAACTCCTACGTTGCGGATGCCCATGGGCGGCGCTGCTTACCATCAGGTAATCCGTCTGCTCGTTTGCCGATCTATTACATAAAAAAAAACTTCATTAAGCCAGACTATGACCCAGATAAATCTATACTAATATTATAAAGAGGTACAGTAAGTTTATATGTTTTTAAGTTTGTATGTAGGGGGTAATCTTTAGAGCCGTTGGTCGGATTGTCAAAATTCTTTCACTGATGTTACAATGTTCCTGAGTGCTATAAATGGCTATAAAACATCACACTACGATAAAATGGAGCTGCGGCAGCAACGGGTGAAACCGCGCGAAAGTAGTTAGTACCTAATTCATAAAACAAGTGAGAGGAAAAAAAAAATTTTTCGTAAAATGCACTATTTGGATCATTTCAACATTTGATAATCATAGTCTATAGATTTACCGTAAGACAAAAAACTCAATCTCTAAACTAAAAAAACCGTGAAAGTGAGAGACGGACCCAATATGCTTAACCTGATACATGGCAAAACTATACAAAACAATTCCCAATTTCTTTAATTATTAAAGTTTTTTATAAGATATTGATAGTTGTTTCACTTCGAAAAAAAAGCATACTTAAATATAAAACATGTAATAACTAATGCTTACATGGAATAGTTAAATTCAATCATTTGATATCTATAAAAGACCCATCTATTGGCCAATAAATGCGGTTCACAAAACCTACCAAGTTTCAATTTTGTTGTCCTATTAAGTTGGAATAAAATGGCTGTGACATACGGGCGGACAGACAGACAGACAAACATGACGCATCTATATGTGTTCCGTTTTTTGAACAATCACACACACTGTGTTCTGTTCACATTTCATAAAGTAGTCTCGTTTTCATGGGATCCCATCATCGGATTGGCTTGAAGCATTAATCGTGGAACTAAAGAATTCTTGCTTTTTATTAACGACGAAAAATTCAGTAAAAAAACATAAAAAACGCATAATATGTGTGAATGAATTTGAAACCTCTTCCTTTTTAAAAGCTGCTTAAAAGAGACAAACTGTTAAAATGTAATCTTATCCACTTTTTTTGTAATTCTAGCCGCATATTTACTCGTATAAATAACACAAGACGGCATAATGTAATAAAAATTGATACTCGTAAATACGTCACGACATGCCACGTGCCAAAATTGACTAATCGTAGAAATTTCATACTACTTTAGTTAAGAGTGTTTTGAGTGACATCAGTTTGAAGCACGTTGACGCCTTCTGGTTTGTTCTGTATTCTGAGGAGTTAATGTAACTGCGACCTCCGAATAGTTATGACAGTCCTCGGTAATAAAGTGTTTTATATAGATATTATAATAACAGATATTTCATTTCACAGATTAATGAGTATATGGATATGATTGCTAGCAGGTACCCTGACCTGGTCAATGTTGTCACAGCCGGTAAAAGTTTTGATCAACGAGACATCAAGTACTTTAAGGTTTGTGTTCATTGTAAACTATACTATGCTCCTAAGACTACATCATTATATTGGATTCGTGGACTTACATCTTTTGAATTATTACAGGTTTTCATTATTTTAAGTAACTTTTAAATTCTGACCTAACTGATTCTGTCCAATCAGATTTCAACAACCAATTTCGAAGACAGCAGTAAACCTATCTACGTGTTGACTGCAATGATCCACGCGCGCGAGTGGGTCACCACCCCAACCCTCCTGTACTCCGTGTTCCGGCTGGTGGAGAACTTGAGGAGTCAGGACCGAGACTTGCGGGATGACATCGACTGGATCATCATGCCACTCCTCAACCCTGACGGTTACGAGTACTCACATGAAACCGTGAGTGTTATTGTTACGATGTAGCCACTAGATCGATGATGCAGCTCCTTCTCTAATAGCTCGTTTATTGAGTGCCACATAACACCAAACCTCTTTTTTGTTAAACAGATAACATTTATCACTATAATAAATACATATGTGGATTCTCCAGGATCGTCTCTGGCGAAAGACAAGATCGTACAGACCTCACATCAATGACACATGCTGGGGTGTGGACGGCAACAGAAATTACGATTCCGTAAATTTCGCTGAAATTGGGGCTAGCCCGGACCCCTGTTCGGACATCTACCCTGGACTTGAACCCTTCTCTGAAGTGGAGACTGCTTACGTCCGAGACGTCTTGCTGGAACATGTGGATAGGATCCAGATATTCATGGACGTTCATAGTTTTGGCAATTATATAACGTATGGTTATGGTGACGGAACGCTGCCACCGAATTCTGTTCAGTTGCACCTGGTATCTGCTGTGATGGGGGCAGCTATGGACGTGAATAAACTGCCCGAGGCTAATTTCTACCGGGTGGGCAACAGTGGCCTCTTGATGTACTTCACCGCTGGGTGTGCCCAAGATTATGCTCAGGTACGATTTGAAGATTGTTTGATTATTAACCCAATTACTATTTTCAGTTCATGTTGCTATGCTCTGCAATATTGTAGTCTAACTAAGGCCATAGTAGCCTCATAGAATATACTTGAAATACTCCTTAGTATTTGCTTACCTTTATTATTTTGGTATTACTTCAGTAAAAGGAAGAGGGTTATCCAATTGGTGGGTTCATGCTCCTCTTATTATTTGTATGTCTTTACCAATCACGGGACCACAGAGTCCCGGTCATTTGGAAGGCGTACGAGGGGCCGGAGCCAACTGCGCAGAGGCCCTTTAGACAACTTTAATCTAAATGAAATGGGACACTAACCGGCGACTATCCCTGTAAGCACTATGGAAATGCACCCAAGGACTCTTATTATTAGCATATTCTTTTCATGGCAAGTTCGTATAGATGCTATGTATTTTCAACTTCCACACCCATTTAATAGTTTTTATTCTTGAATGAGAAATAAACCTTCGTAATGGGCTGTAATGATACATACCTTTCCAAACTATGTATTAATAATATATATAAAATAGATAATTATACTTTTGTTGCAGTCTATTGGCGTTCCATTTTCATTAACACTCGAGCTGCCAAGCTACGGACACCGATTCGAGGTTCCGCCCCAGTACATCAGCCACATCAACGAGGAGACGTGGCAAGGCATCGCGGCCAGCGCCAGGGTCGCTCGTACTTTCTACAGGGCGAAAGCGATCGTGCCACCTACAGTCCCACCAACAATCTCTCCTACGGTCCCACCTACTGCTCCACCAACCGTCCCACCTACAGTACCTCCAACTGTCCCACCTACAGTTCCTCCAACTGTCCCACCAACCGTTCCACCTACAGTTCCACCAACCGTCCCACCTACAGTTCCTCCAACCGTCCCACCTACAGTTCCTCCAACCGTCCCACCTACTGTTCCTCCAACCGTCCCACCCACAGTTCCACCAACCGTCCCACCTACAGTTCCACCAACCGTCCCACCTACAGTTCCTCCAACCGTCCCACCTACAGTTCCTCCAACCGTCCCACCTACAGTTCCTCCAACCGTCCCACCTACAGTTCCTCCAACCGTCCCACCTACAGTTCCTCCAACCGTCCCACCTACTGTTCCTCCAACCGTCCCACCCACAGTTCCACCAACCGTCCCACCTACAGTTCCACCAACCGTCCCACCTACAGTTCCTCCAACCGTCCCACCTACAGTTCCTCCAACCGTCCCACCTACAGTACCTCCAACTGTCCCACCAACCGTCCCACCTACAGTTCCTCCAACCGTCCCACCTACAGTTCCTCCAACCGTCCCACCTACAGTACCTCCAACTGTCCCACCAACCGTCCCACCTACAGTACCTCCAACTGTCCCACCAACCGTCCCACCTACAGTTCCTCCAACCGTCCCACCTACAGTTCCTCCAACCGTCCCACCAACAGTCCCACCGACCGTCCCACCTACAGTACCTCCAACTGTCCCACCAACCGTCCCACCTACAGTTCCACCAACCGTCCCACCAACAGTCCCACCGACCGTCCCACCAACCGTTCCACCTACAGTTCCACCAACCGTCCCACCTACAGTTCCTCCAACCGTCCCACCTACAGTTCCACCAACCGTCCCACCTACAGTTCCTCCAACCGTCCCACCTACAGTTCCTCCAACCGTCCCACCAACAGTCCCACCGACCGTCCCACCTACAGTTCCTCCAACTGTCCCACTAACCGTTCCACCTACAGTTCCACCAACCGTCCCACCTACAGTTCCTCCAACCGTCCTACCTACAGTTCCACCAACCGTCCCACCTACAGTTCCTCCAACCGTCCCACCTACAGTTCCTCCAACCGTCCCACCTACAGTTCCTCCAACCGTCCCACCTACAGTTCCTCCAACCGTCCCACCTACTGTTCCTCCAACCGTCCCACCTACAGTTCCACCAACCGTCCCACCTACAGTTCCTCCAACCGTCCCACCTACAGTTCCTCCAACCGTCCCACCTACAGTTCCTCCAACCGTCCCGCCTACAGTTCCTCCAACCGTCCCACCTACAGTTCCTCCAACCGTCCCACCTACAGTTCCACCAACCGTCCCACCTACAGTTCCTCCAACCGTCCCACCCACAGTTCCACCAACCGTCCCACCTATAGTCCCACCAACCGTCCCACCTACAGTTCCACCAACCGTCCCACCTACAGTTCCTCCAACCGTCCCACCTACAGTTCCTCCAACCTTCCCACCTACAGTGCCTCCAACCGGCCCACCAACGGTCCCACCTACAGTCCCATCTACCCATTAACCACTCATCATCCTACAGTCTTAAAACCTTTACTTCATACTATCGATAAACTTAATCACAATATTTTTATTCTTACTTAGTGTTTAATTAAATTATAAATAATGAATGCGTAAGCTAACACACTTTTTGGCGTGATAATATGTGAGATGTATCAATAAAGATAAAATTTCCTGATACGGGTGTCATTGAACATCAATGCCATACCAAACTCGAATCTCAAACCGACATAATGAATTAGGTGATCTTTTAGTATCTAGAAATACCTTGTGTGAGATTTTGGTTATAAACCTATTTATATATATATTATGAAAAATTTTCTGGTACAAATTTAATTGATTTTGATTGCAAACTAGCTAAAATATTTGAAACATATTTAAAAGTAATGCAATGTTTATTTACTCATATGCATATTATAATAATTTGTGATACATTTGTTGTTACGCCTTGCACCAAGCATGGTTTTGTAACCAATATACGCGCTGTCCGAAAGCATGTTTTTTTCTCTAGTTTTGGTTAATGTTAGGATGATTATTGAGGATACACCTGTAGATTTATCGTGATTTTTATCAAAACAAGTAGAAACGGATTCTCGATTTTTCTATCTTACTAATAAACCAGTTTATTATAGTCTCACATTCTAAGATATTTCCCCACTCTTAACGATCACTTTATACTGGTTATTTAGGTTGATGTGCAGCTACATGCAGTCTAGAAGATAGCGAAGAAATGTGTCAAATACGTTACGAATAAACATATCGATGTCTTTATTCTTTATGTTTTTAACCTATAACTCCTTTTTCACCAAAATTTTTTTTCCTGTTCCATTTTCTATCATTACGTTATTTATATATTTATATTTATATATAATGTATGAAGACTTATAGTACCAAGACTGCAATATGGTAACAATACGGGTTCACTAAGGGACGTTGCACTACGGACGCAGGAGTATCGCTTATAAAACGAGTTTTCAAATCGTGGGAAAAAGCACAGGATGCCATCGGAATATTTTGCGATCTTTCGAAGGCTTTTGACTGTGTTGAGCACGAAACGCTATTACTGAAGCTGCAACACTACGGCATTCGGGGGGTATCCCTAAATTTATTAAAATCATACCTTCTAGAAAGACTTCTTACAGTACAAGTAAACAGAGTAAACTCCCAGGGTGCTAGCGTATCTATGGGCGTACCGCAGGGCTCAATATTGGGTCCATTCCTATTTTTGGTTTATGTCAATGACCTGCCCCATTTATTCCAAAGTGAACCGCATATGGTATTATTCGCTGATGACACATCCTTGATTTTTAAATTAAATAGACGATCAAATAACTATGACGAAGTGAATAATGCCTTAACGAAAGTTCATAATTGGTTCACAAAAAACAACTTAGTACTTAATGATAAAAAGACGAAATGCATTAGATTTATTTTGCCAAATGTTAAAAGTAACGTATGCGATGATATATTATTAAATGGTCAGAAACTGGAATTTGTAAAGGAGACCACATTCTTGGGGATTACTGTAGACGACAAGCTGCAATGGGGGCCCCACATTAGATCTCTAGCAGGGCGGTTGAGCTCGGCAGCTTATGCTGTCTGGAAGATCCGTCAGCTAACCGACGTAGGCACGGCACGACTAGTGTACTTTAGCTACTTTCACAGCATCATGTCGTATGGAATTCTGTTGTGGGGACAGGCATCCGACGTTGAGTCTATCTTTATCTTACAAAAGCGTGCAGTCAGAGCTATCTATAACTTAGGTCGTCGCGAATCTCTCAGAGAAAAGTTTAAGGAGATCAACATTATGACCGTACCATGTCAATATATTTATGAAAACATTATGTATGTTAGGAAAAACCTACAGCTATTTGTAAAAGTATCTGACAAGCATGACTATCTTACTAGACATAGAAATAGATTAAGTCAGCCTTTATTTAGATTAGCAAAAGTGCATAAGTCGTTCATGGGATTATGTGTTAAATGTTATAATAAAATCCCAACTGAAATACAAAATCTTAATGAAAGTAAATTTAAATTATGTATAAAGAAAGTATTATGTAGGAAAGCATACTACAAACTAAATGATTATATAGAAGATAAAAATGCTTGGAGGGTGGCTGGTTTGACTGCACAGGATAAAAATTGTTAAGGTTAAGAGGAATTTTGATCTCAATTATTAAATTATTCACCATGTTGTTGATTGTTGATAAACTGGATTTTTGTAAATGTGAGAGCCCTGTAACTTATTATAATTGAGTTAGACTTATAGACTTATAGTATATTGGTACTTGTGTCAGTTGGGAGTTGTCATGCTCACTCAGGAGTCTCATTGGCGGTGGCACGGGCACTGGACCGCTCGGTTCCCTATAATATGGTTGAGTTGGGCGGTGCTGGTGTACGTGTCATGTTCGTGAACGGACGCCGCCTATTGGGACTGGTCAACTCGAGACTGTCTAAAGTTGCTGTCCCTGAGGGTTATTTCTTTTTCGGATACTTTGGTTAAACACTAGTGTTACACTGTTCTCACATAATGGAGCTATCTAAATTATGTAACAATGTATTGTAAAAAGTGATTGAAAAAGAGTAACCATGGAGTTTCTTGCTCGTTCTTCTCCATAGGAATCTACACTTTGGAACGAGCAAATAGCTTCACTAGAGGACAGACGGACAGACTGACACATAAAGTTAAACCTTATGATATCTTTTTTGCTTGACGTTCAAAAGTGCCTTTTTTGGTCTATTTGAAATAAAGAATTTGATTTGATTTGTACATTTGCCATTTGCATAGGCTTAAAGTCAACCTTTAAATGATGGAAAGATGAGAGTGGCAGGTGACGTAATTAAATATAACAAACTATTATGACAGTTAATAACTTTACTGTATTATAAGCATATAATGCGATAAACACAATATCAGTCTATAAATAAACATCAGTTATATACTATATACACACAATTACACGAAAAATAATAACCTATATAAATATAAAATTCATATAACTATAAAAAAAATAGTTCTGATACATTTGAATTCGCCAATCTTTTGAAAAGATGCACTTCACTCATTCACTCATGACTCATTTTTAAAGATTAACGACTAGTCGCCATTCTGATTTACGTGGGAAGTACATTCCATAGTATCACAGACTGAATGAAGAAAGAAAAATAAAGAAAATCAGTGTGATTACTTATACATTGAAGGTGACAATTATTGGAATGTTGTATTGAAAGTAAGATAGACAGCTAGAAGAAAATGGAGATTCAAGACAGAAGTAGGTATAGATTGTCGTGAGAACTCTTTCGTCCCTGCGCTGGCATTAGGCAACCACTTTAATTGCAGCCGATTTGCAGAAACATGATCATGCTTACACATGTTGAAAACAAATCGAATTTAGTTATTCAGAATTCGATGAAGTCTATTAAGGAGATCTGCATTCAGGTCGTAACATCTTATTATCATAATTTTAATAACTATTAAGGGTTGCACAAGCACTGCTTCCACAGAGGATTGGAGAAATATTTCAAGGCGATTTAGAAACTGCACCTAATCTGCTAATATGGTTTTCCAAAGTTTGGATGTCGATTTCTATAAATAAACGGATTTGCATAATCAGTAATTACAATCAAATTTAATATCATAATTATATGCAGAAAGCATGTAACATACGTCACTACTTACACACACATCTGACAATGGATTTTGATAACAGGCTTTGGAAACACTTATCGAATTAGCATTAAATAAAATACTTATCTACCTTATATGACCTTTGTTTAAAGAATTTTGTCAGTTACGATTACATAAAATTTTATTCAATAAAGCCACATAAAACCAGCCTTAATTTGTTATCATTAATTCCAACTAAACCATACACAAATACTTTTGAAACTTCAAAATAGAATACAGTCTGCCAGTCACTTCGTAAGTGGAGCTAAGTGCTCGTTCCCAATAGTTTCGAATGGGGAAGAACGAGCAAGAAACTCATTCGTTACTCTTTAAAAAATATTTATGTTTTAAAAGCTTATCAATGAATATTTGATACACATAATGTTACGACGTCAACATGACGTCATAATATTATTACGTAAATAATCTAAAATATTTAACATCGTCCAAATCAATGAATGAAAGTATGATTATATTTTACACAAAACTTATTTTTGAACTATGAAACTACCCAATTGCCTTAAGGTACATCGTTAGGTTGAGATTAATGGATTTAAAAAAAACATAATCATTTTACAGATAAAGAAGCGTGCGCAGGCAGACAACCTGTTTTATGAATGACGTATGAAGGCGGCGTTGCCATTCTGATAACTTGCAACTTTTTGCCGCTGTATGTCACACTTGTGTCACTGTCATTGCTCTACATCCGGATTTCAAAAATAGTAATACTCACCTGCCTTGTCGTGAATCCTACTTATCTTGAAAGAAAGGGACAACAAATCTGATTTGAAAACATCACGGTTATCTAGAAAATGTGAAGCACTTGTCAGGGACGGACATCTTAGTTCTCCGTCTCGTTTACCCACGTAGTGCCGTGTATATTGTCTCTCGCTCCAATGCTAGGGAATGCAACAAATGTATAGTTTCGCTAGCGTTCCATTGGTTGACACACCTGTGTGAGTGCCACAGTTCGATAGTTCGGAGTGAGTGAACAGTCGCGTGCGCAACTGATGTTTACATTTTTTCTTTAGTTTTTGTTGTTTTGACAAGTAATTTGTGCATAATGTTCACGTCATATGAAGTGTTCGCTACGTTTGGGATATCAGCTGTAAGTGACGTCGATTATTTTGATATTTTTTGTGTTTTAATAAACGTATTGGTTAGGATGTTATTGGTTGTGAATAATAATGAAGTTCGCTCTGATGACTTGATGACTAGCGCGTGTTGTCTTGACGATATATTTTTACAATAAATTTGCAGAATAAATCTACCTATAGATAGACCTTATATTTATAAAAAAGGCAGTTAAAATATAAAAAATCCCAGGAAAATAAGGATTCATATTTCGTTCGTTTCGAGGAAGTTTATTTAAACGGTTATTGAAAAACAAAGCCTTGGAAGTGTAATTACTTATACTCAGCTCACTACTACAGCTTTAATAATATTTTTAGGATATTTTTAAGTTATTCTAAAAGATATTCAATATTGGAGGTTTGCCTAGGTTCAGACATTTAGGTTTATAAATAGAGTAATGCCTAGGTCGGTTGTGTAGGTCGTTCTTAGTCTACTTAGTATTCATTAAATATGTGAAACACGTAGCTGGTGGTGGCAGTTAGCATTGAGTTATTCAGTTCTTCAACAGCAGGTGTATGCTATAATCGGAGTGTATTGTAATGTTGTAATATGATGGCACATGGCTCTGTGATATCAGGTATTGTTCGAGCACTATCTCTCTGTGTGCTAACAATTAGCTGCATTGTATCTAATTACATGACTGATTACTCGTCAATAACAAATGATTCAGCACTTAAGTTTACCTGGCACATAAACATATTAATTTATAACGGGTAATAATATGTGCTTTTTATATTCATATTATATATAATTTAAATGAAAAATATTTAATTTATAAGGTTCAATTAAAAAAGCCCCTAGGTAATATCTTCTTGTTATATGTATGTATTTGATTTAGACACATTACTGTTAAAACAGTTTTTGAGCCTGATATCTGGTACCTGGCAACACTGCCTCATCTCACGTTTTGTTATGTTCCCGGTATTAGGGTTGCCCTTTATTACTCGGTGCTTGCTACCTGCAGTATCTTGACTCCGGCGAATGCAGGCATGATGTAATGATGTTATTGTGTGACTGCCGACAATGCACTGCTCATTTAACTGCACTATACAGCTGCACACACACACTGACTCAACACGGA